TTTTAGTACCTGGCCATGTTTTTTCATCCAACTTAAAAACCCTCATGTAAGCAAATGTCAACAAAAATATGATCACATTGGTAAATGACCAGCAGATGGCAATCCCTCTGAAAAGAGACAAAGCCAGATTAGTAATATTCCCATCCATTCAAGTTTTAAAAAGTTAATATAACCCCACAATAAGCCAAGGGCAATTAAAACAGTTTGAGATTCTTTAAGGAAAATGGCTTATGACCACATTGGCAACAAGTTCAATTTAAATTAACTTTTTAACTCCTAAGATTTGATTGTTAATTCTTTCCTTCAGCTTTTAGCCGTTTCCTTGTAAATTAGTCACAGATTTTGTTTGATTTTTCATTGAAATATCTGCAAGGCTTCATCCATGAGAATATAGGTTTTATGCCAATCATGCATTTGTTTCTACAGTTGTACCTAGTTTGGCAGGTCCACATCAGCCTTTGGCTGGGTAGCTATTACAGCTACAATCAAAGAACCTGCCCTGCCAAATGAGAGATGGATCAACTGATTGACTGATCAACTGACTGACTGAATGCAAAAAACTTTAGGAGATGCTAACCTGAAACCCCATTTGAGGACATACACCATCAATGCATTTATACCAATTTGAATAGCATTGGAGACAGCGCCAACATAAAGGATTGGTTTGACAACACCCTGCAAAGAAAATTAATGAATTTTATCATTCAACTGTACTTTGTAGAGTACAAATAATGCACGAGACAAGTACAAATATAATGCAATATTTGCACTGCAGAAATATTCGTGAAAATTTTGCCCCCACTGAAATAACAATTTGGCATTTTGGATAATAAATCTCTTATTAAAAATTTTGTTGTGTAGTATCACTGATTGTTTTTAATTGTTGTTCGTATTTTGATGAACTCATCAAAATATGGCACAACTCATAAAAATACTAAGTGATACTACACAAAAAAACATCTAATTAGATATATAAATTTAATGACATTTAAAAGCATGGTATAGATGTAACAGAATATGAAGTGTGCTCACAATAGTTTAAGACATGATACCTGGGTCTGAAGATATCTTTGTAACAGAAAGAACATGAAGATGGCCTGTGGAAAAAAAAAAACAACATTAACTAGGGTTTAACAAGTACAAGAGTTCTGATTATATGATGATAGAGCAATGCTGTGTTTTTTTTTCATATGATGTATTTTTTCTATCAATGGTAAATATGAGTCAATCTTAAACAGCCCAGAAGATAATAAAAACAAAGACTGGGAAAGTAGTAGAGAAAAAATTTTCTCCCTGGCCTCCCCTGGCAACAAACATTGCTTTGCCTGTATGAGTCCAAGATCATGGTAACTCCTAACTTTAACATGGAATACTCATCTATGAAATAAAAGAAAAATTTTGAGTGACTTACTATTGAAGCAGGAATGCATATCAGGGCAAACTCCTGTGTCAGGCTATAGGAAAAATAAAACAATAAGGTACCAGACCTCTCATCTAATTAAACTGGAACACAGCATCTAACTTCTGCATTGAGTTCCAGTTTACATCTAGTATTAGCTCACACAGCAACCTGCTCCCCAGCTTCTACACCCCAGAATCTTATGCACCAATCACTTTGAAGCTTCAAAACCTGCACAACCCTTAGGCATTAGATCAACATTCTTGGCCAGCTTTTTAATTACATGCAAAGATAAGGAGACTACTTTAGCGGGTGAATTTCAACATTGGAAAATGATGCTACAAGCGCTACAGCAGCAAAAACTAAGCAACTTTGCTAAATTGTACGACATTTGTTGATCACCCAAAGAATTGTTCAATATTGGGTGGGGCATTTGAGGGGGGAGACAGTAGTGGGTGGAGAGGGCATGAATTTGAACAAGCCAATCTTTAATACTTCAAATGCCTAAGAGGTTGCCTGGGGTGGGAGGGGAGGAGGGAAGAGATGTTGAAGATTGATGCATTTTTGTCTGCTCTTTATTGTTGAGTCCTGGTTTTTCTATTAGTATTCATAATCATTTTTTAACCCTTAACTCACAAGATCTGGGCCCAGTTGTTCAAAGCCTGGATCATGCTATCCAACGGATAAATTGTAATTTGGCTGAAAGTGTGAACAAAACGTACCACGCTAGCCACTGGAAAGTAATTTCTGGAGTGGATAGTGTTATCCATCTTTTGAAAAACTGGGGCCTAATTGCTTATCCTCCCCCTCTAGCTGCTATATAATATTATTACCTTGCAAATTACTTAATATGAGAATTGGGCATTAGATCCAGACAACAACCTCTACCTGATAAGTTTGAGTGTTCTCACTACCTGTTGGCTGGATAATGTATGGATATTAAAGGGAGAAGTTACTAACAGTTGTTAATCTCTTCTGGGAGTTAAAGACTGAAATAAATACAGGAATGACTTTTCTCATATTTAATTAGCTTGTGAGGGGACCCTTAAAAATTAGGGCTGGGTTTTCAAAGCTGGGGTGAGAAAATCCAGCGTTAGTGTGAAATCTCATTTCAGATCTGAAAGCTTTAAAAGAAAATTCAGTATAGCTGTTTTTGTCTAGAAATTGATTATTGGATGCCTTGAAAAGAAGAGAGAAAATTATCCCGAAAAGGCTTCTGAACAAAGGAATAAAGGAACCTGGATTAAAAATTTAACCTCCAGTTAGTGCTAATCAGTCTTTAAATAACTAGGCCCAGATTCATAAAAGTTTAGGATTAGGATTCTAAGGATTATAATTTAATTGAAGTTTCTTTATACTTCACTCACTGGACAACATTTCTCTTCTGGCCTACCATCAACAACAGTTGTTCAGCATTGATCCAGAGGGCGCAGGTTAATATACATGCAATACCCAATATCCAAACCCCTCTCTGAAGTGCAATGCCTGCCATGCGATAGTTCTTGGCTCCAACAGCTTGTGAGCCTAATGTCTCCAAAGCGGAAGACAAACCAGTGAACAAAGATGGTCCCGTGACATTTATGAATGAAATAGCTAATGTTCCTGCTGCTAGTTCAACCTCTCCAAGACGTCCCGCAAAAAACAGGGTTATCATGGAAATCAGATGGTAGAAAAAGTAAGAAAACACAGTGGGCCATGCAAGAGTAAACAGTTGTCTGATTTCAATACAGGTACTACTTGATAACAATCCACCTAAACAGCCAGATGTCTTCTCCAGTTGATAATACTCATCCTGTTGTCTAATATCTACATCAAATTCGTCGTTTGGTGACACAGATTCCAACACATCATTGGCCATTTGGTTCTAGTGATGAGATCTGCAAACAAGATAAATCAAACAGAACTAAGATAAGATGATTACCCCCGAAAAATCCTTAGTCACGTACACCAGTTTCTGCTTTAGTTTCATGATTAGTTTTGGAGATTGATATGAAAAACTGCACTGCAATTTACTTGGAAATCTTCAAATGATGCTTGAAATACCAAACCTAACTACATCTAAGGCTTTAACTCTGTTCAACTGAATGATTTTCCAGTCAAAATAATGATTATTTCAAATTGATTTCTTGTACATTCCTCTGGGTTGCATAATGCTCACTAAATTTACCCATATCCTCATAGATTTCCTAAAAAGGAGCTGTGACGGGTTGGGGACAAAATATTCCCATCTTTCCCCTCGTTAGGCGGGTAAGGATACAACTATCTCCCCCCTTACTTTCAATCTTCATCCGGCAATAAGCGTGATTCACCGACTGGGAACAGATGGTCACGATTCAGTCTTGCTGAAAAACATTGAATGCAATTATAAACTAGAGCATCAGTTGTGGGAGGAAAAACTTGTAGCGCTGCCACATAATCATTCAATAGTATAGAGATATAGAAGAGAGAAATTGTTGAGATGAATTATGGACTACGGGACAATGGACCAAGGACTTGCTAACCGGTTTTATAACGCGAACGAGGGTATTCAACGAAGCTAAAACTACAAGTTGCTTGAGAAAATCACGCAGAGCGACTTGAAGAATTTAAACCAGTATTCTTGAAGAGTATCGTATTTGGAGTCCATCTTTTCCAAGTTTCTTGATCTTGACGAGTTACATCACAAAACTTTCAGCTGATCTTCGACGCGCGTTCAAACAAAGCCTTTTGTTATTGACCCTTTACCAACTTTATCGTGTCAACGCCGCGCTAAACGTTCATTGCCGTTGCAGTTGTACCTTGCCTTAAAATCCTAATAGTTCTCTTTGCACAACGGATAAGACGTGAAAGATCTGAGCGTTCGGATTTTATAGAGCATTTATCCTGCTTAAGCAATGGGAACCAAATTATTATGGCAACCGTTCTCCACTCTAAGCGCTTATCATGCCGTTCTTACCTATTTCAAGCACTACGGCTTTATCCGAAGACTTAAGTTTACCACGACGTTGCCTGGCTTCCAACCCTCAAAAGGATCTATACTCAGATTTTGCTGACTTGACCAAATTCACCTGCTTAGGGTATTCACCTTCATCAATCTACCCTGTCCGAAATGTCATTGCTCATCCTAAGCCATTCCCAGCCCCCCTCAATGTTCTCTGACCTGAACAGTAATTATAAGACCCTGAGAGTAGTCAGCCGTTCTCAATCAACACCCGGAATCAAAGATAAGATAGTTATCTTCACCCCACTTGCCTTTTCATCCAGCACTTGAAATTAAAATCTTTAGCCCTTTACACCCTGACATCAGTGTGCATATTCTCTATACCCTTTACAATCTTGTCTCCATGCACTTCTGAAAGGATGCTGACACAAAGAATTTGTTAGACTATGTAGAGCTTCTATGATTGGTGATCATTTCCTTTCTTCTCCTGACCCTAGTATGATGCATGGGCAATAATGTTAAAGAGAAAGTGGATTCTAGTCAGTCTTAGGACATCAAAGGGTTAAATGTTTTTAACTAAGTAGCCGGCTGGCATTTGTCTTTGCAGGTTCAGTCATATCTTAAGACCAAAAGAATTGAACAAACAAAGAGAATAAGGTAAAATTTAAAAGAAAATGACAGGGCCATGAAACTGGTTCATGCATGCATATATCCTAGGGCTACTTTAGATCTTAGATCAGGATTGTTTCAAAAAGGTTCATTTAGAAGATGAAATACTTCACAGCTTGGGAGAATTAAGGATGAGATCACAGCAGCTTATTGGGTACAAAAGGATAAAACCCTCCAAATCTCATGAGTGACCAGGACAGAATTTGTCCTTACATTATCAACACAGTATCTAGCAGTCAAGGGATGAGAATAAAGAAAAATATCCAAAAGAGGTTTATAAGTTGATCCAAGACTAAATGTTCTGAATTTACTTCACAAAAAGTGTATCACAACAGTAAGGGGATTAATGATGGTAATTGAACTGAGTGGAGTGCAATTTGGGCTGAAATCATGTGCTTGATTTTAAAATCGAACGAGCGTGCAGCGCAAGTTCGATTTGAAATCACAAGTATGAGACAATTTGGTTTGATCCAGGCTGAGTTGATAATGAAGCTGACATTTCGACCGTTTTGAAATCGCCCAAATACAAGACTTGGTCAATTCAAATATTTTACCGATGCAGTACTGAGCCGGTTTTTAGAAAAAAAGTGGAACCAGAAACGCTTTTACATCTTATTTTGTATGCAAAACTGAAAGACTAATGTCATGTGTCAAAAACTCAGTCAAGCATAAAATGATGCAATTTAGAGGAAAAAATGGTGCGATTCGTGAATAAATAGCACAAATTAGAGCCAATCAGATTACAGGGACCCCCAGTGATTTCAAAATGGATGTAATAAAGAAAGACATCTTTGGAGTGAAGGGTTGAAACAAGATTTGACCGCATAGAACAATGCCTGAGACTGCAAAAAATCATTGAAAATTGTGTATTTAATACAAGTGTGGTCTTAAAATGTTGAGATATTGACAGTTGGATACTAGTTGAACTGTTGACAATAGCTCTATCTTGTTCCTGGTTTTAATTTTTCTGTTCAGTAATGAAGAATGTTTAAAATTGCTGCAAAAACTTCCTCAACCAATGAAATTCATGACCACAAGATGGAGAATGATACTGGCAAAGATAAAATCAGCAAATGCTCTCTCTGGGGAAATCCCTTTGAAGTCAGAATAGTTGGCTGGGTTGCTCTGAACTCGTAGACAAACTGTAACAAAAAGCATCAAACCATCAGATGCTATAAAAGGCTAGAGGTAAAATAGCTCATGTCTTCTTACAATAACAAATAGTTGTGAGGGAAATCAAATAAACTGTTTCCGAAGGGACCAGTTATTAAGAGATTAGTGGATGCAAACAAATAAAGAGTGCCTGAGAGCACAAAATAACACAATGCTTAAGTGTAATGCCACCATCCTGCCACCTTCAATCATGCTCTGTTTGTACGCAATTGTGGGTCTAGCTTTACCTCGAGCATATGTTCATTTCCACCATTACAGGACATTTGACTATTATTTATGGACCTTTTTTTTCAAAATTAAGCCCATAGATGATCTCAAATATTTCTGAAAATCACTACAGCTTGTGATCTCAATGGTTCAGAAAAATCACAGCAAATTATAGCTTTTGAAACTGTGCACCACAATAGTACACTTCATCTACGCAAATACCACATGTCTTGTGAGATCTACCAACATACGTGTCACACGTTGAAACTAAGGTATTACATTTCCCGCAGAATACTTAAAGAAAACATGATAATAAATCGAATGAATATAAGCGTTCGATGAATTTATCTTCTCACCTCCTAAAACAAAAGATCCCACGCAAGAAATAAATCCGGACAGGAATGAGTTGAATGGAAAAGTTCCCACAAAGCAACAGTACACGAAATGAATGATCCCTGTTAGCATGATGTAGAACAGATACGCATCGACTATCTTGAGCTTCTTTGGTGTCGTCTGGTTGTATTCATCATAGAATTTTACCAGGATGTTCTTTATGTTGGAGAAAGTATCCATATTCCTTTCGGATTGGTATCCCTTAAGAGAAGCAGGGGTCTTTCTTCACGACAAAGGGCTCGAAGAACGGAAGAGGAATAAAATGCAAAGCATCATGGGTTTTGTGGACGGCCTGGACTGGCGCTAGTTGTAACATTTTGGCGCTGAAATTTTTCTCTGTTTTGAGTGTGGTCTCTGCGAAGATTTCCTCAAGTTGACGCTGCATTTTTTTTGTTTATTCTTCTACAACGATGCACCGTTGATAAGAGTTACGGATGAAGTAGTAGATCAAATACAAGGGTAAATATAGAAAGTCACGTTACTTTTCCAAAGAAAAATATATCCACTATGACTTCTGAAGGACCTCCGCTTCGTTCCCATCCAAGCTCAGAACTAGATTACTTTGACATCGACGACATACTGGCCACACAAGGAAGAATTCCTAGTAAACTAGAAGCACAAGTTTATAATCTGGGTTTCTTAGATCCTAGTTCCGAAGGAAATGATCTCCAGGCTGGAGCAAAACTCGAGCTTCCATTTTGGCTGGCGAAAGAACTTTGCAACAGGAGAAGAAAAATAGTCTCAGTGGACATTCCTAAAGCTTACAAAGACGGCTACCGAGAGATTTTCAAAGCTGATGCTAGTGTTGTGGATCTTCATCGACTAGGGCCGTATTTTTATGAGTTTGGAACAAAGTTGCTGCTTTTTGATTTTGAAGAAAATTCCCAAATGGCTTCTTCCATGCAGGAGGTACGTTTGTTTTTATTTAGAGGGAGGTGATGGTGGGGATGAATTTTTTTTTGTCTTTTTTCCCTCGTGGGTTGTGTTGGTTAGGGAGGGGAGTGGGGTAAGTGTTATTGGTCAAAGTCTGAAATGAAGAGGGGAGCAAGATTTCTGCAGCACTACCATATTTCATTATGTACAGTCCATGGATAAAGAAAAAATAGAGTATGTTTGAGACTGTGGCTTTTCCTTAGAATATTTTTTTTTTTATGTCGCTCGCAGTGCCTGTGGGCAAGATGAAGCAAATCCTGTCTTCTGATTGGCTACCTGAGTGGGCAAGAGGGGCCCATCTTGCCCGCTTGGGATTGCTGTGTTGATCCTACGCATGAAAAAAATTGAATTAGAGCTAAGTTTGTAATTCTTGGACAATTTTGGCAACGGAAATGCAAAAAGCAGCAGAAGATAGTCAAAACAAAGAAAGCAGAAATGACTCTCATGAGTTTGTTGTGCTACAGACACAGTTAGCTTTCTTTTCTGGCTCTTGAAGTGAGCAAGTCATTGTTAATTCTTAATAAAGCGAAATCTTTTTGCGATATAATAAATCCTTTATTAACCAAACTTGTTCAGTCAAGATGGCTAGAAATTAGCCTCATTCTTTTTTCGCATTTTTATTGACCTCGACTTCATCTCGGTCCATAAAAATGTGAAAAAAGAACTCTGCCAATATCCATCCATCTTGACCTCACCCTTGGTTAATAACACATATTATTATATGGCTGTGTCTCACAAGGACTGGGAACTACTGAATTCACGAATTTGATTGGCTGAAATCAATATTGAAAGCGGTCTAGATTTTCCCATCTAGACCAGCATCTAGACCGGGCTAGAAAAAAAGGTACAAAGAATATAAAAATTGGCATATAAGACACAGCCCTATAATAAACATCTTATTAACCNTCACTCCCATCTCTCCATTCCCAAACTCAGAGCTAATTATGTCGCACTGAAAGAGAGGAGTGTTTAAAAAGAATGCATGTTGTGTCCCAGTCTGTACACATGTACGGACATGTAAAGCCCAGTTTTAATATAGACATTGGGAATACATATGCGTTTTAAACTAAGCGTGAGGTCAAGATGGCTGGATATTGGTCGAGTTCTTTTTTTGCATTTTTATGGACCGAGACGAAGTCGAGGTCCATAAAAATGAGAAAAAAGAACTAGGCTAATATCCAGTCATCTTGACCGGGCTAGAAAAAAAGGTACAAAGAATATAAAAATTGGCATATAAGACACAGCCCTATAATAAACATCTTATTAACCAAGCTAGGTTGGTCTGTATGGGAGAATCTTGACCTCAGTCGCTAGTACAGACCTCAGTGCTGGTGACCTCTCGGTTAATGAGAACTAATATATGGAAATCTTTACAAGAAATGATCTTCCCAGGTCTGCTACAGTTAAGGAAATTGCAGAAGAGAATATTTAAACAAATTAAGGCTGTAACAGGATTTTCACCCTTGCTTTTCAGACACTCTGTAGAGTTTGATATACCAAGAAAAACTAGGGGCCCATCAATATTTCCTTTTAGCTAAAAAGTAAAGGGCAATAATGTGGAGATATCCCTGTTGCAGTTTGCTTGTTTTTATTTTGTTTTTTTGTCTTACTTTGATCTGTTGACTTGCTCGCCCATCTCAAGGTTATTTGTAAAGATATTTAAAACACCTGTTGATGTAGCTGGGCTTTCTTTTCAGACTTTCATGAAGAGATTTAGAAAAATAATGGATTCTTCTCAGAACTCTGCAAATGAGGATACCTCCTTGTTAACAAACAAGCTGGATCACATTGAAAGACAGGTGTTCTCTGCTGGACGCAAGGGAGTGAAAGAATTTCTTCAGTGGGAGGCTGGCAGAACATCCAAACTTATGACGTCAGAGACTGTTGTCAACCATAAAAAACGCAAAAGGTCTATGATTGAGTAAATTTCACACCAGGCTGGGTCAACACAGAGGTTTGGAAAACGCTTTAGGTTTTTTGTGTTATTGATTGCACAGTGGCTTTTGTAACTTACAGGGCTCGACACTAACGGTAGGCAACATGCCACAGACTAGTAGAAATTCAGTTTTGGCTAGTGGTCTTCGATTTCTACCAGCCAATTTGGCTAGTAAACAAACTGAAATTGTTGTAACATCTAAGCTGTCACTAGCCACTTGGCTAGTAAGTTGAAAAGTTAGTGTCGAGCCCAGAATTAGAAGAGAGGTATGCCAGTGAGAGCATTTTTTTATATCCCTCTCTAAAGATTATCTCTGAAATTGATTCTGACTGGAAGAATTTGGTTTATTATAAGATGAGGTCCATAAGCTGATAGGTTTTTTTGTTCCTGTCACCTGTTAATTGGATTAAGTATTACTGCGGTCAGGAGAAGTTCTATGTCATTTAAGTCTGGGGGGTAAATGGTTGACCTATGTCCAATCCTTTCCATGCTCTGTTCTGTCCTCAACTTTTTCTCAAAATGAGTCCCCCAATTTATTTTTTGCAATCTTCTAGATTTTACATACCTTGTTCATTATTTCCCTCACTTTTCTTAAAGTAATTTGCAGTTTGAATTAAAAAAATGACTCAATAACATACTTTTTTGGCCAAACACATCTTAAGAAATTACCTATCACCTGTAGATTCATTATAACTACATTTGATTNCCAGCCTTTGATCAGCTGAAAATTTGATGTTGAGGTCGTGGGTACTGAAATGCCTTGCTTGCTTGAGCCTAAAATTTCTCAGACCACAACATCCCCAACAAATTTACCTCAATTTTCCATTTTTGTTACTTCTATCAGTCATAGAAATGACATCAACTGAGTAAAAAACTATAAGTACAGCTTTGCTTTGGGACTCTGCCTTATAAATGAACACATTTTCTCCCAACTAGCTTAAAGTATGAAATTGGATTGGCATCTTAAATTTGCAATTAGTTTATAAAGTTAAAGTAATTCTGAGCAAATTCAGCCTTTCACTTCCAAGATCTAATTTCAATTCTCCACATCATTTCCAGATTTCCACATCATCTTTCAGAGCTGATCTTTTTTTGAAAAATCAAATGACAAGCCCTCATTGAAATGTTTCTACTTTTTATCAACTTTCTTGTTGAATTGTACAGATGAAAAGGAGAAATTTATTGTTGGTCAATCTTGGCATTGAAAGGGTTAAATTTCATCAAACTCCTTATCTACAATCACAATTTAATACATTTAACAGCTTCAACCAAAGTTCACTCATGGGTATCATAACAGCTATTGTTTTGAAATGAGCTATTTTGCTTCTGTATGGTTAACAATGATATTTACTTTTATTGTTCTACAATAGCTTAACAAAAATAACTCGTTAGTTTCCTCTCTAACAGCAATGAATAAATATAAATTGCTTCTCATCAAAAAAAAAAAGGAAAGAAAAAAATATCCATGACTTTTTATAGCTGATATGATCATTGTCTTTTTATGAATAGCCCACCCATTCTGTGATAGTTTTACAGTGAAAATTTTGGTCCTTGTTTACTGCTCATGGTAATAAAGAAGTCAGTCAAGATGGTGATTATTGCTGTTTGAGAGGTTCCTTCCAAAATATTATTTGAAATTACATATTAAATAAAAACACACTTTGAGATGCAAGAGTGACAGGGTCAAATGTTTTACTTACATAGAAAAGCCTTCTTTGATTAAAATTTGTTGAAACAGAAGACCATGTTAAAGATGCAAAAATGTTTTAAAAGGCTCTAACATTTCAGCCTACGCATGGTAACATGTAATCACTCTTGTTTTGATTTCAATGTATTTATACAATAATGATTGAGAATTTAAACCATGATTATATCCAAAAGTATTTGTGACAACATGGTCCTCTCCCATCATTTCACGAATACTAGTATAATCATCATTATCATAAAATCTGTATTGCCCTACTATACCCGTGTTCATATTGAAAAGCATTGTTAATTTAAAATATCCCCCCTTTGAGAGCCATATGCCATAACACAGCCAGGACCAGAATTAGATGTAGCACCCTAAAACATGCAAGGTGAAAGCAGAAAGAAAAAAGTAAAAAAGCAGCCAGTGAACTACTGTCTTTGATTAAGGGTTAGATTACTGGTGGGACTAAGACCCAACTTTTCCTTTTATGTCCTCCATTATGGAAAACACTTCAGAGTATGCAAATAAGAACACTCCAATAGTGACATAGCAGGCACCAAGAACAATCAACAGTTTTCTTGTCAAGGTAAGAACTGGATATTGTAGCATCTCTTGAACAAGGCATATCCCTAAAAGAAAAGAAAAAAAAAAAAGGGAAAGAAAAAAGGTAAGTTTGTGCAAGACTCCAGACATTCCAAGTGAAAAAGTTTGAGGTCATGCATGGAAGACAAATTCTGTTTGTGTTTTTGTGTGTGCTGTGCAACTTTGTAAGGAGGATGTCAGTTCTAATAAACGGTGAGAATATGTTTTAATTATGACAAGTTTGAAGTTAAGACATCTATTCAGAATTTATGAAATTTAATAAAACGTTCCTTGTAATATCTAATAGTTAAGCTACATCTTCACTGTTTCACAAATAGATGCCATGTTGCCATGCATCTTTTCTATAAAAGATAATCAATGAGGTCTAAATGTGGTAGGAACAATCAAGTGCCATACAAGGCCCAGCCTAGTGTGTCACTAATCTCTGAAACACCTTTTGACCTAGACTTGCCCCAAGTTGTCTTTTTATGCTCGTCTTTAAGAAAAACGAGCGAGGAAGTCAGAGGAATGAGCGTATTCCACCCCACTGGACTCCCACAAAAACGGACTTTGAGAAAGTCTACTTTTGACTTCTCCTTTGATCCATTATTGCACAGAGGCATGGCAATATGGAACTGATTTGCTTTGTCTTTGCTTGGTATAACAAAGAAGCAAAACTTGTCAATATCTACCAAGTTTATGTCCTCTAATAGATCATGACTATGGTAATTAATCAAAATTCATCTTGAGTGTAGAATTCAGCATGTCATTAGTATGGAACATTTGCACTTGGCATGAAGTGTTTGCTCACCTGGGTAAAAGAAAATGAACAAGGCTGCCAGTCCTCCCACAAATGTTATTGCATACAATACATCTTGCATATAGATAGAAATTATAAGGGATAACCCAATCCATGCCAGTATTTGGATGACTCTTTGTCGTTTTTCATCTGTTTCTGCTTTAGTGGTAGGCACACTGAAGGCTGCCACATACAAACCATCCAAGCAGCTCCTGTAAGTAAAAGAATTAAATAGTGTTAAATTTGAGCTTTACAAAATTTCAAAGTTGGTGTAATTTGTGTTATAAACATGCTTATAACTCACTCAGAGTACAAAGGAAATTTTGCCACTTTTGAGATTTGTGCACTTGGTTGACAAGGGGTATTAAATTAAACCCTTTTAATCTCTATTATTATATGGCTGTGTCTCACAAGGACTGGGAACTACCAAATTCACAAGTTTGATTGGCTAAAATCAATATTGAAAGTGGTCTAGATTTTCCCATCTAGACCGGCATCTAGACCGGTCTAGAAAAAAAAAAAAGGTACAAAGAATATAAAAAATTGGCATCAATCAATCAGTCAATCAATACTTTATTTACCCACGTTCAAAATACGTGCGTGCCTCTAAGATTAAGAATCTAAAACACCTAATACATATTGTCAAGACCTAATAGATTAGAAATTGCAATAACTAAAAATTAACATTAAAATTTAAGTTTGTACAATAAAATTCAAAGTCACTTAAATACTGGTATAAAATGGTGAAGCAATAACTCAAATAACTTAAAATTAACATGTTTAAAATTAAGTTTGTACAATGAAATTCAGAGTCACTTAAATACAAGTATAAAATGGAGAAGCAGCTAAAGTTTCAATGTTCTCAACAGCTTCTTAAAAAGGTTGATATTATTGGCCAGTTTCACACTTGTAGGTAATCCATTCCACAGCTGCGCACACATCTAAGTCAAAGATTTTTTTATAAAATTTAAATTAAATTTAGGTGCGCATAAATTAATGCACATCTTTATTTACTGAGCTAGATCAGTCTGTATGGGAGAATCTTGACCTCGGTTGCTGGTACAGACCTCACTGCATTCGGTCTGTACTGGCGACCTCAGTCAAGATTCTCCTATACAGACCTCCCGCTCGGTTAATAAGAACTAAAGAATGACCAGCATCTATATACACAGTTTAATTTCTCCTTACAATATTACCCCTGAATCAAACTCTAAGGTCAATGGACTAAAGGAAACCATGGCCAACTAATGAAGCTCCTGATTGTTAAACAAATACTCCTTTCCAGCTACTCAGAAAGTGTGTAGAGACCAGTGTGGGTAACCAGGGGTTTCATTAAGGGCCTGGGCACCAGGCAAGTTGACCGGTTGTGAGGATGGTTTTGCCCACCTGGTTTGACGATCTGAAAGAAAGTTTATCTTCTAAAGAAGTTCAGTTCAAAAAGTTTTGCCAGCCTGTGAAAACCAGTTGCCCTCCTGCCGAAAACATTAATGAAACCCCTGGCATGGGTAAAATTGTAAACAGTTAGTGACAGCACTATTGAAAAGTATTGGCAGAACACTGTCTTACCTTCCACAGAAAACAACCACTGCCGAGGATGGTAAAATTATGAGACATAATGTGACCCTTGCAGTATTCACTAAAATGCCATTAGGAGGATAATTCTTCAGCACATCGCTTGCAACATTTGTGCCAAATGTGAGGTAACCAAATGTCCCGGTGATGATGTACAGGATGGAACAAATTGTCATTGCTACGACCACAACAATGCCAAATCTGGGCACACTTGCCCTTTTTAGTTCTGCATAGACAGCCACTGACTGTACATGACACTGAAAACATTGCACAGATCACATTAGAAGCACCGTTAGTGGTGATTAAAATATCAAGAACTGTGTGCTAATAATGAACAGGAAGTTATTTTTTGGGTGAGGAAAGTTTTTTATTGTGGTTCTCATACTGTAAATAGTCAGTTGATGGTTTTTGATGATTGTGTAAGGTGTTTCAAACTCATTAGAGGAAGAAAAAGCATTTTTTTCATACTGTAAGGATTATGATTGCCAATTTGAAAGATAAGTATTGTTTCTTGAGTTTTACAGCTTTCCAAATTGCTTAGATATAGCTGCAGATTACCATATTTTGCTTAGTGTTAATATGTATAAGGGTTTCCTAGCCTGTGTACAGCCTCCCCAGGCGGCTGTACACAGGCTTGGGTTTCCAAAATCAAAGTGAGTAACAACAGAACAAGGGGATAAAGGACAACCAAAACCATGCTGCAGAAACCATTAACTGATTGTTAATTTCTAAACGGAGGGTTACATGCACTTGTGACAAAAAAGTTGTATAATTTGTACTTATGATTTGCAATAACTTAAGTCCTTGCTTTCATAACCTGGCCCTTGGGAGATGGCCTGACTGTTTTTTATCCCTCAAATGTATCAGAAGGGCTCAGTGTTTCGCATTTCCATACTACATGTACATCTTCCCAACTATTACTGTGTGTAGTGTGTAATAAACAAAAATCTAGCCTGTGTACAGCCGCCTCATCACCACGAAAAAATCGGGGAGGGAGCATCTGTGATTTACCRTTGCTAATCGTGTATGTACGGTGGCCCAGAAGGCTCAACGCAAACAAAAAATATACTGCAGCAAATAAAAAATATGCTGCAGCAAATAAAAAAATATGCTGCAGCAAATAAAAAAATCAAAATGCAAAGAAAAAAAGTACCGCAGCAAAATAAAAAAATGCACCGCAAACAAAAAATACTGCAGCAAATAAAATATGCAACGCAAACAAAAAAAAACGCAAACAAAAAAAATTGGAACGCAACGCCAAGGAAGACTGGGTAATAGTTCTTAGTTTCTCGCCAACACTCGTTTCATCCTTTGCTTGTTCGCCTTTCCGAAACCATGTTCTGAAGCAAACTTATGACAGTACCATGCTACTCCTTTAAAAAATCAATAATAACTCTATTTTTATACCCATGATGAAAGTAATCTTCTATAATCCTACGCAGATCGCTTTCGTCCATAACCAAAAACGAGTTCCAGTTCATGCTGTTTTGGCGGGAAACTACAAACTATTACCCAGTCTTCCTTGGCGTTGCGTTCCAACTTTTTTGTTTGCGTTTTCTTTTTTTTGTTTGCGTTGCATATTTTATTTGCTGCAGTATTTTTTGTTTGCGATGTATTTTTTTATTTGCTGCGATCCTTTTTTTCTTTGCATTTTGATTTTTTTTATTTGCTGCAGTATATTTTTATTTGCTGCAGTATATTTTTATTTGCTGCAGTATATTTTTTATTTACTGCAGCATATTTTCTATTTGCTGCAGTATATTTTTTATTTGCTGCAGTATATTTTTTGTTTGCGTTGAGCCTTCTGGGCCACCATATGTATGGGAATAACTTTGCATAAATTAAAAAACTGGTTTCCGCTGGCCAAAATTTTTGTGGTTCGTCTCAAATCATTCCTGGATTTTCAAAATGACGGTCAGAGACTATACTTTTCATCGAGCAATTGAGAGTGTTTGCGACGTTTTCAAAATTGCTTCACTCTATACCGAGCAAGAGAAATGTCTCCAAGCCCTTTGAGGGAAAAGATGGGTATGCAGGTCTTCCCACTGGATACGGGAAATCACTAATCTTGTGGGGAATTAGCGAGGGCCCACACTGTCACTCTTCTCTTCCAGAATTTATTTGCAAAATGCAGACAAAACAATATTACTCGAGGTCTCTGACCGACCAAGCAACAACTCACACTGTTTTTCTTATCTCATGAACACACCTTGATCAAAACGTAAGTTGATTGGCTTTGAAGCTCTTCCCAACAAAGATAAACAAACTGATTCATCGGAGCGGACAGATTGTGACACTTGATTTCCGGCAGATAATTTTGAATCTTTAAAAAACTAATTATCCTGTTTCCAACAATCTTTTATGCAGCCCCAATCGT